CTATTAGATTTGATGGTCATAACTGTATTGAGTTTATTTACATGATAGTAGAGAAACTGGGGAATTGACATAAGGGGAAGATATTAAGGATTTAAAAGAGATAACTTGGGTGTGGGGCATGACTTGCTCAGGGAGGTGCTTAGAGTGTCATCATAAGTACTATGTTAGATCCTGCCCCACACACATAAAACAAATTTCAAAATACTAGCCTTGGATCCCAGGAACTGAGTGGCAAAAACTGGGGATCAAATAGACTGTGTGAATTTTCAAATTGGATATTCCTTGTCAGTATGAATTTCTGTCTAGAAAACTGAGGTATCGAAAGGTAAAGTTCTGATGTTGAAATACGCTTGGCACATGTGTACACAGCATCATCAAATACATGAAAATTTCCTTAATGAATACTGGTGCTTCAGTTCAAATTTTTAATTCTGGATAGAATTAATACAGAGGTAACTATGTTGGATCATTTTTCAAAACCTAGTTTGGCATAACTGTCAATCATTGACAAAAATGGCAAAGGAACTGAAAAACACTTCCTATTATTTCAGATTTTTTATTTGGATTTTTATTTGTTTGCTTGCTTGGTTGCTTGTTTGCATTTGTCATTTGCAACATGGTTTCTACATCTAGTTCTAGTTGCCCTTGGATTCAGAGGAATTCCCCTGCCTCTGCTTCTCAAGTATTACTTTATATGTCTTGACCAACAATCCTTGCCAGTTAATTATTATACTGCATATACCCTTTGAGTTTAATTTTAAGGTTACAATTTCATGATTGAAACTATGAAGCAAGTACACTGCTCCCGTAATATCCAGTCATATTCCTGACAACCTGCCTTGTGCATCTTTGAGACCATGAACATGGGTTGGCCACTTTAAGAAAGGCTGATCTTCCTTTAATGTATTGACCACTTAAAGAATATATGGTGAACAGAGCTCACAGGGACATATCTTTGTGTTTCTCTAGGGATAGAGACCCAACATTTGAAAACACAGCATCTATAGTGAATTTGGAGAACAGAACTTGTAAAAGGGAGGCAAAGTTCAGCAATCATAACGGCTAGACAAATGAGCTAACCCATAGTCCAATCATTGTGGGCAAGCAGGTTGAGGGCAGGTGTCTGGAATCCACAGATTCATTGACAACAGTCTCTTGGCTTTGTTTGAAGGTCCATGTCTCCATGCAGGGGCAGGAAGCTCTCTTTTCTGAAAACATGTCCTTAAAAGAAGTCACCAAACTTTTGCAACAGCAGCAATCAGCAACAACACCAACACAGGAAAATGCAAGGACACAGTGGCAGACCACACCAGATATATTATTGGCCACAGGTTAGTAGGGAAACTGGAGAGAACAGGCATGTTTCATGGCTATCCCTTTTGTGCACATTTTCATAGATTGTCTTCTTTCCGAAGGACAAGAAAACACTGAAAATAATCACAATAATTTCTGGAATGCTACTGAAGTAAGGGTTGGAGAGAGTTGTACTGGAAATGAAATGAACTCCCTTATCATTCAGAAAATGCAGTATCCTGAGCATGAAAAGGCAGGGGGTCATTTTCAATTCCCTCTTGGTGCCAAAAGTGCAAATCAAGGCAAATCAAATCATCCTATAGAATTCTTGAATGCTTCTACTTCTGAAGATGTGCCCATGGAGGAAGAACCAGTGATATTCTCCAAGACAAACATTTCTGAAGACAGGTTAGATGGTTATTACACTTCCACAAGTGCTACTCAAGTAAATAGTGCTGATATTATTCCCAGGAACAGGAAGAACTCCAGACTCTTTATCCAGAGAGTGTATCATCCTGGGCCTGAAATGAGAGATGTTTCTTATGAAGTTCCTCAGGATTCTACAAGAGCAAGTCAAGGAACGTCTACATGCCAGGAAGAGTCATTTAGGGAATCTTTTTCTGAAGAAGACCCAAGGGAGGTACCAGAGTTTCTCTCAAGGACAGAGCAGCCTCCCTCTGGGCCTCTCAATCTTTGCAGGAATCATGAAGCAAATACCACATATGAAAGTCACCAAAGAATCCATAGAGATCCCAAACCAGACAAATGTGATGAATGTCCAAGGACCTTCAAATATGCCTGTAACCTTTCATTGCACCGGAAAACACATCAGAATAAGAGGGCATTTGTCAGTCCCACATGTCAGAAAAAATTTAAACGAGTCTCTGATCTCCAAATTCATGAGATCAGTAACAAACCAGAGAAGTCATTCACATGCAGCACATGCAAAAGGTCCTTCAGCCCCAAGACCAACATGAAGGTTCATGAGAGGATCCACACAGGAGAGAAGCCTTACAGCTGTACCCAATGTAACAGTACCTTTCGCCAGTCATCCTCATACTACCGCCACCTGAGGAAGTACCATAAATCTGAATGAATGTGAAACTTTTTCATCAGAGTCTAGAATAGCTTCAGCCTCAGTAAGTCAACTGCAAACAGTGAAGAATGTAGCTACTAAATTGAACATAGCAAATAAAAATCTACCATGTATCTTGTGGATTGCCATTTTTGTATATGTTGTGTGGGGAGAGAGAGAGAGAGGGAGGGGGGAGAGAGAGAGAGAGAGGGAGAGAGAGAGAGAGAGAGAGAGAGAGAGAGAGAGAGAGAGAGAGAGAGAGAGAGAGAGAGAATGCACTTGATCGCATGCACATGTATGTGTGTGTGATATTTTTTCCTGTATTTTCTTAGTAAAGCAGGATAATTGACAGAAGAATTACTAGCTGTCTTTTTTGTTTTGTTTGGTTTTGGCTTTGGTTTTGGTTTTTTGAGACAGGGTTTTTCTTTATAGCTCTGGCTGTCCTGGAACTCACTCTGTAGACCTGGCTGGCCTTGAACTAAGAAATCTGCCTGCCTCTGCCTCCCAAGTGCTGGATTAAAGGCATGTGCCACCACTACCCAGTTTAGCTGTTATTTCTTGAGTTATTCCTTGCACTGAGACTGTTTTTTTCTAATTGCCAGCCCCATATGCCAGTCTACCTGGGACTAGATATTCCAAGCATTCTCTGGTCTGCACTGTTCATCTCTATAGTTATCCCTCACAGTGGCCTGTCATTCTCTCTGCCATTTTTCTACCTTGTTGGGGTTTGAAACCCAAATCTTAGGCTTGCAAGGAAAAAGCATTGCCTTTTCACAAATCTCTCGTTTCAAGCGTACAGCTACAGTTCAAGAATATTTCTCCACATTAGTAGAAAGTCTTCCAAAATAGAACCAAAAATATCAACAGCCACTCACAGTGGTTCAGAGGAGCCTCCCCTTCCTGTTCCATTATGGTTCCCCCCAAATCAGCATAGCACTGGTTTCAGGACATCCAGATACTTGGTTAGTGGAGGTGGTTTTATGATAGCTTGTCCCACATAATGACGAATAGACTAGAAAAGCAAGCCCTTTTACATGATTAATTTCCCAAAAGTACAGTCAAGAAACAAAAATGGAATAAGAATAATATTGAGAAACAGGATTCTGTGCAGAATTAAAGCCAGGGGTTATAGGCTGTTTGAGTTGTTAGTGTTTGTGTGTGTGGTGGTAATTTCCCCGAGGAAGCTGAGCTAACTTCCCATATCATCTGGAATCACTGAGGACGCATTATTACTATCCCCTGATGTACCTGCTGCAACCTTTATGGAGGCAAACAGAAGATTTCAGTTATGAAAGTACATAATTTCCTTAGCTGACATGAATACCAACACAAGGTTTGCATTTCCACACTTAAGATGTTATTGTTGGCATTGCTTTTTCTGGACCCAGTTCGCAGCATTTGGTTCTCTAACCCATTTGCTTATGTCACGTTCTCTGGTCTTCTTTTTCTAGTGATATTGGGTGATTTAGGTCCTCGTGGTTTCAACATTAACATTTCTTAGCTTGTATATTGGGATATATTTTAGCCTTCTATCTTTAAAGATTCTAGCCTTTGCAGGATTACAGAACTTTGGTTTAGCTTCAGTGCCATTTTCAAATAATGTTGCATCCTAACATGAGAGATTAAGCCCCGTACAGGTAGTCATCAGAGGTAGAATTCAGCTGATAATACTGTGATATCCAGATATCATGGAGCATTCCTGCAATCACTACACCTGGAATCTGTCAGCAGGAACAGTAGAAGTTCAATTATTCTCTGGTACAAGGAGATTTCAATGCCATCTTGGCTAACAAGACCCACAACATAGCTTTTCTAAAGACAAAAACATCACCAACAACAAAATAAAAAACAGAAAGAACAAATAAAAAAACAAATATCAAAGAAAAACACCAACTCACACAAACCTGAGAAAATTGAGATACAATACTCTAATTTCAGCAGTGTACAAAGACAGTGACAGGTGCTGGGGCCTGGGCAGGACAGGGGCCTGGGCAGAGGCATGCGCAGGTGCTAGTGGCATATCTCAGACTCTGAGGCCAACTTTCTAGAGGAGGCTTCTGAATCTGTGTGAGGGAACACCATCATGGCTGGATGACAGTCTCATAGACCTATATGTTAGATATTTAAATTATATTTAATAAAACTTGCACAATTATAATTATCAAGTAACAACAAGAATGTCTTTGTGGTTGAGGGCCACCACTGCATGAGGAACTGCATTAAAGGTGTACAGTATTTTGAAAGTTGAGAACCACTGTTCAAGAGTTTGAAACAGAAGGTTCCAAATGGCTGGAATGTAAATAAGTAAAATAATGAAATAATTTAAAAGAAGAATAATAGGTTTTAACCAGACTGTGGTGGTACATGTCTTCAATCCCAGCAGAGGAGGCTGAGGCAGACACATCTCTGAGTTGAGGCCAGCCTTGTCTACACAGCAATTTCCAGGACATGCAGGGCTAGACAGGGAAGGCATGTCTTGCACAGAAGATGAAGGTTAAGAAAATCAGTTTTTAAATACCAGTACCTACTTTTCTATTTTGGAAAGATCCATTAAACAACTTTCTTACATCTGGCTCTTTGATTTTTTCCCTTCAATTTATCATGATGTTACCTGAAACTTTGGTAAAGGGAATGATATAGATATCACATTTGTGACTGGGCATTATAGAGTTGTTCATTCTCTACAGTTTGCTTAGTTTCATAATCACCTTCACAGCACAAAGACATTTCTCTGATGAGTTGTTAGTGTCACATTTACATATGGCTATAGATGGAATATTTTAAAGAGTGTTATACCACTACTGGGCATATACTCAAAAGAATCTCCAATATATAACAAGGACACATGCTCCACGATGTTCGCATCAGCTTTATTTATAATAGCCAGAAACTGGATATAACTCAGATATACTTCAATAGAAGAATAGATATAGGAAATTGTGGTACATTTACAAACTGGAGTAATACTCAGGTATTATAAACAATGATTTCATGAAATTCACATGGAAATGGGTGGAACTAGAAAAAAACATCCTGAGTGAGGTACACCAGACACAAAAGAACAAGCAAGGTATGTACTCACTGAAAAGTAGATTTTAACCCTAAAACTCAAAATAATCACAGTACAACCCATAAACCATATTTAGCTTAAGAAGAAGGAACACTAAAGTATAGATTCTTCAATCCTATATAGAAAATAGAACACAATAATCACAGGACCTAGAGAGAGGGAGGGATCAGGGATGAAGACAGGATGGGGGGAGGTTAGAAAAGGGGGACAGGAACCTGTATTGGAAGGAACAGGAGAGAAGTACAGAGGATCAGGAAATTGAATAGAAACATGTAGCAGAGGGGCATGGAGAACTGCAAGTGGCCATTACAAAGTCCAAGACTCCAGAGAAACAAAAGGCACTAAGAAGCCAATGGCAATGACTTCAGCTGAACACCCAAGAAAGTAGAGATACAACCTGTAGAGGCCACCTCCAGTATATAGGCATGGCACCCTGTACACGGATAGGGCCACCCAGGTATCTTAAATTTTTAACCCAGAAATGTTCCTGTCCAAAGAAATACAGGGACAAAAATTGGAACAGAGACTGAAGGAAAGGCCATCCAGAGACTATCCCACTTTGAGATCCATCCCACATGCACATGCCAAATACCACACTATAGCTAATGCCAAGAAGTGTTTGCTGAAAAGAGCCTGATATAGCTGTTTCCTGGGTGGTTCAGCCAGAACCTGAACAATACAGATGTAGACACTTACAGCCAACCATCAGACTGAGCCCAGGAATACCAATGGAAGAGTTGGGGGAAGGAATGAAGAAGCTGAAGGAAATTGCAACCCCATAAGAAGAACAATAACTAAGTGGACCACCCAGAGCTCTCGGGGACTAAACCACCAACCAAAGAATATTCATGGAAGGACCCAGGACTCCAGATACATATGTAGCAGAGGATGGCTTTATCTGACATTAACAGGAGGGAAAGGAGGCTTGATGCCCCCATTGTAGGGGGATGCTAGAGGAGTGAGGTGGGAGTAGGTGAATAGGTGGAGAAGTAACCTCATAGAGGCAAAGGTTGGGGAGGTGAGGGGGAATGGGATGGGAGTATCTGGAAGGGTAAACAGGATATCATTTGGGATATCATTTGAAAAGCAAATGAATAAAATAATTTTTTAAAAAGTACATTCATGCTATATCCATTTAGAAAGGACTGAGGCATTCATTAGAGATGGGAACTGTGAGGAACCCTACAATTGATTCCTGGCCTGATCTGTAGAATGAGGCTTCTTTTAAAGCAATGTTTCTCAAACTGTGATAATTGGAGAACACATATTTCCTCTGGTCTTAAAATTTTACAACCATGGGGGAACTTGAGAGGGAGACCAACTTTGAGAGAACAGGGAAGAAGGGGAGAAAAAAAATACATAATTTACAGTGCCTATAGCCAAGCTACAGCCCAACAGGGCTACAGTGCCTACACAGCTCAGCCAACTCAAGGATATGCACAGACTACCCAGGCATATGGGCAACAAAGCTAGGAAACCTCTGGACAGCCTACTTATGTCTGCTATGCCCAATCTCAGACCACTGCCACCTATGGGCAGACTGCATATGCAACTTCTTATCAATGCCTCCCACCAGATATACCACTCCAATTGCCCCTCAGGCATAAAGTCAGCCTGACTAAGGATAGGACACTGTGGCTTATGACTCTACCACTGCTACAGTCACCAAGACTCAGGCATCTTATGCAGCTCAGTATGTATATGTCACTCAGGTTGCCTAACCAGCCTATCACCAACAGCCAGCAGCCATGTCACCTACAAGACCACAGGATGGTAGCAAGCTAGCTGAAACTAGTCAAACTCAATCTAGCACAGGGGGATTAGAACCAGCCCAGCCTAAGATATAGACTACCATTTTCCCCAGGTACCTGGAAGCTATCCCAGGCAGCCAGTCACAACACCTCCATCATCTCTTTGTCTTGTATATGTTGACCTTTATAAGACCTGCCTT